GTTGGTTGTGGAATGATGAGTATTAACATGACATAAATGCATCTATGCATTTACATTGGGCAAGAAATGGAAAAAATTGACTTTGAAATGAAAAAGGGGAGTTTTGGGAAAGAATGTATTGATGAAAGTGTTTTGATAAAACCCGGTCGCTGCGGAGTCACCAACGGGCCGGTAGGTTAATGTAACCTAGAAGGAACTAGGGAGATTGCCCTAGCGTGGTTGAGCTATTTGGGCCCCATAATGACGCTGCAGAGTCACCAAAGGTCAGGGACAGTAACCAATCATTCTCTCGGCGCTGCGGAGTCACCAAAGGGGGTTACATTAACGGTTTGAAAGTGATGGTTTCGAAAATGGGGAGCGACATTGGCATGCATTGCATCCCATAGCATTCTATTGTTTATAATGAGACTTGTTGTTATGTTATGTTATTCCGACAATGTATGATCCCCATTCCTATTGTCCTATTCTTTGGTTGGATTCACAGGGACACAAGAAAAGTGTCTTAAGTGTTACCTACTGAGCAATTTGCTCACCCCACATAATTAATATTTTTCAGGTCATGGCAAGGAATTGGCGGATGATAATCCACCACAGAACTAAGGGAACTTAAGGCATTTTTGAATGTATTTTGTGGGACTTAAACTATTCTTGTAAAGTGCATAACACAAAATGTATTATTTTTGTAATATGTAAAACATTTGGATTTATCATGTATATGGCCATTTGGGTAATGTAATTAAATTCGTATCATGTTAATTCCCGTATATCATATAACGTGTTGTAAATTACGTTATCAACGTGGTGGTTATTATTGCAATTAAATGTTGAAATGTATCTTAGTTTATGTACGTGAGTGTAGTGGCACAGTGTTTGGACAATGGGTGAGGATAACCCAAACCAGTTGACGTGTAGCTTCCTATGCGTCGACCGGTATCCTGACAGTAAGCATTTTGAACGTGAATGACCTAAACCAGTTGACGTATGGCTCCCCATACGTTCGACCTGTATCATGTCCCGGTATCTTGGAAGTGGGTTTCCCCACTGTTCATATCCAAACTAGTTGACGTATGGTGTGGATACGTCAACCGGTTTCTATCACTTATGTAATATGTGTTTAGTTTCCCAAAATTACACCTTGAAGTTGCACGTAATTATTTTATGATCCAATAAAATGCCATAATTATATTTTAACCCCCGAAAGGTCTATATTACCCCGAACCTTATTTTATTTGCTATGTGATACAAGTTAATGACTATTGTACCCTTGAGTCTCAATTTATTGAATTGTAACAAATTACCATTTTGTCCTTTTGGACCTTGTTATTTAAATTTAATGTGAAAAGACCGTTTTACCCTCGGATGATTTTGGGTCGGGTAAGGACCCGTTTAATGATCCGGATCCATGAGGATTTGGGTCGTTACAATGGTAGGTTGAGGTGTACCCTGTTAGGTCTAGGCACTCATGCCCACCTTTGGGTGTGTTTTCGCATGTTGCCTTCTATTCAGGTTGAGACCCCTATTGTAGTCCAATGAACTAAGGGATATATATATATATGTATGGACGAAATAGATATTGTGAGGTATCTAGGGTGTATCTGCGTATCGAGTCACTGTATGGATTGCAGTTAGATTAGAACTTGTTCGTGGGCCTGACCCACTCTTTTATTCTTTTCGGGTACAAGACGGTTCCAGCCTTAGAGCTTGATCGTGCTTGTCGAGGACAGTCTCTTTTCATCTGCTTATGTAGGACTTCTCTCAATGTTTTAGTTTCATTTACTTTCAGTTATTTCAATTTAGTTGGGATTTTATTTAGGGGTCCACTAGATGGATTCCCGAGTTGTACTCATGGAGAGTTTGGAGATTTGGTTTCACTTTAATCATTATTGTTTGGAGGATTTGTTACTGGATTTTTTTTTTAGCTTTATTCTATTTCTTATCTTCATTTAATACTCTGTGTTCGCTTTAAAATACTTTAATTGTTTGATATTTCCCTCGGGTTTGGGCCTGGGCCTGATCAACCCCGTGTCTCGGATCTGAGGGGTATCACACATAAGGGTATTGATGGGCTTCAGAGTTGTGAAAGTATAGAAGAAATGTGTGGATGTGTGAGAGTGTAGAGGTGATGTGTAGATACACGAAGGTATGGGCGGGATGCGTGAATATACGAGGGTATAGTGTGACGTGTGTTTACATTGACATTTTATGCATTGCATTGTATGTGATGGTGGTGAGGATTACTTGTAAAGTTGAGTGTCGTAAGTGAATCCCTCGTATGACCCCTTACTCTTTTTTCAATTCATTGTGTGTAAAGTATTGGATTACTTACTTTATTTGTGTAACGACCCGAAACCGTTGGTCCGAACCTTAGCCGGGTCCTTAACCGAACTCGAGGTCAACTAGGGACAACACCATTTTTTCCTACGTCAATACATATTATACGTGTCATTCCGAATTTATAAAAAAGATAAGTAATAATAATAAAATAAGATTATAGCTACAAAGTATGTCAAAACGGTCTACTAACCCATCGAATCCTGTGGAAGAGCGTCATCCGCCACTTGCCATCCATGTCTTGAAAAATATTAAATATAAAGGATGAACAAATTGCTCAGTATGTAGTGCCTAAGACACACCTCTTGTAACCCCGTGAATCCAAATAATGAATAGAACAATAGGAAGTGGGGTCATGCTATGCCGGGAAATAATACAACATTACTTTTCAAATTCAATACAAATAATACCGTCCATAAATGCAATGCTATATATGTCGCTCCCTATTTCAAAAATCCGAATCCATCACTTTTCAAACTGTTAATATAACCCGTTTGTTGGTGACCTCGCAGTGACACGAGAGAAGGATTGGCTACTGTCTCTGACCTTTGGTACCCCCGCAGTGTCATTTGGGGCCCAGATAGCTCAACCACGCTAAGGTGTTTCCCTAGTTCCCTCTAGATTATATTAACACCACGGCCCTTTGGTGACTCCGTGGCGACCGGGTTTTCATAAATCACTTAAATCAAAACTTTGACCCAAAAATCCCCTTTTTCATTCACTTCAAATCATTTTGCCCTTTTATCATGCCCAATGCTATGAATGCATGTCACATGCTTGTCATTACTATGAAAATAAATAAATTTCCAGTACACAATTTAACATGCTTCTACATAGCAATTTCTAACAAGATATTAAACATCATGGCATGGAAATTTACACTAGGCATGTTTTTCATACAATTTAATTAATACATAAAATCATAGATTTCATCTACAACAATAAAGTTATTTCCAAGGCAATCAATTCAAATTAAGCACGTTAATTTGCACAATATTAATTACACACTAAATCATATATTTCATATACACAATTAAATTTCTTTAGAGTAAAATCAACACAAATTAGCATGCTAGGACACTAATTAGGTAAAATTAACTCACAAAAGTGCAAGATTGAGTGGATTAAAGATCCCTACCTCTAAATGGATGAAAAGCCCCAAATTCTCCTCAAACACCTAAGATTTTAAGATCCCTCAAATGATAGCCAAATGGAGATTGGCTCCGATCAACGCGTAGATCTCGTCGTGGGCTTCAATTTGCCGCAAACGGCACTTAAAATTACCAAGTATTGAGAGACAGATCTAACTTTGAAGTTTTAATAAAAAAAGAAAAAGAAAATGGAACAAGAAGAGTGAGGTGAGGGAGGCCAGCGGGAGAGAAGAAAGAACAGAGACCAAACATGGTCTCTTTGGCCTTAAATGGCCTAAGGGTAGGTCCCACCATTTCCATTTATTTTTCCTTTTTCTTTTTGTCTTTATTTTGCACCACACATAACATATATATATATATATATATATATATATATATATATATACACACACACACACATTAAATCATAACCATATACAACACATTAAATAAAATAAACATGATGCAAATGGACCCAACAAAAATACCTGTATGCAACAATTCCGGTAGCGGGTTCCACACAAACCGTCCGGCCTGAAAAACAAAAAAATGCAAAAATGATAAATCTTGCATTTCAAAGAGTCATGAACTCAATGAAATGTCCCAACCAACTCCCAGACATAACCGGTACGCCCCACGGTGTCCGACAGGCAAAACGACAAAAGACAAAAATGTCCTTGCAACGACAAAAATTTCGAAAAAAATAAAAAATAGCGAAAATCGGAAACATCACAGTTTGAGGAGATGCCACTTAAGCAATCTCTACTGAACCATTGTGCTCACTCCTCTACATTTTTTTCAGGTGACGGGGTTGAGTTAGTGGATATTGATCTTCCACGGGCATGGACGGAACTAGAAAATATTTATTATTAGTCATTCTGTATTATGATATCTCTTTTGTAAAGTTTTCAGAAAATCTATGTAATTGTTTTATCGTTGTAACCTGACAATGTACCTGTATTTTAAACAGCAATTTTATGTTTTTTGTGTGTGGCCATGGAAACATGTAATAATTATGTTGGTATATTGGGATGAATGGGATGACTATGAGTTATTTTGGTTAATTTCATTGATGAAGATGATACGGGATGTATATTATTAATGTTGTCAGGTGATTATTTCTTTTCCACCGGGTATTTTTTGTGGGTTAGTTGACTACCATACAGGTGTAGTCTACTGGAGGTTAATTGACTACCACACAAGGGTAGTCTACTAAGTATTTTCCCTTTCTTCCTTTCATTTCTTGGCAATCTTTTAAGAGTTTCCTAGTATTCATGCATTGGACCTTTATGATTTAGATCATTCCACCACGGCGTACTAGAAGGATCTGTGGGGTGTACTAATTACATTTTAACTTTGGAAGTGACAGTACTGCCCCTACATGATCTCGGGTTCAGATAAGGACTCAGTTAACGATTCGAACCCTCGGGTTCGGATCGTTACACACACACACACCCACACATATATATATATATACTTTTTCTAATTCACTTTTTTAGGATTAGTGGGACCAGGCTCTAATGCGACAATCAAAATGATGATTATAATAACCCTAACAAAAAACAATTGTGTCCTTCTAACGTCGACCAAAAAAAAAAAAAAATTGTACCCAAGTCCTAACCATGAAACTTTCTGTGAACAAAGCATGAAGAACAAAGCTAGTTCAATTCTTGGAATCTCTTACAGGGCCTTGTATTTGCAGTGTAGATCACCACAGTTCGATTTAATTCGGTTTTACAAGCTTATTCAGGTTCAATCTTATACACTTCTCTCTCTATATATATACATGGTTGGAATATAGTCAAACTATTGCAGAAATTCTATGATGTTCACATTATCTAGTTTTTTTTAAGGGTTTTTCTCTTTTTCATCCTTTAAACTCATCTTCAACCAATTAATTGTTTTATCTGTGTTTTGTCACTGGTGCATAACCATTTCTTTACTGCTCTGATGCTCTGATAAACATAACTATTTTGTAAGAGATGTATATATATATGTGTGTGTGTGTGTGTGTTCGTGTGTGTCTTATTTGATTCATTAAGTATCAATTGGAAGCTTTAAATTAGTTATGCACCAATTGTAAGTGAGTGACTAATATATTAAAAGGACTTATGGGCGGCTATGGCTCATTTCTTATACGTAGTAGTTTTCTGCAGATAGCAGCAGATTATAGTTAGTTTTCTATTCTTAATATGAAATTTGTTGAATTATCAGCTACTTTTATAATAAAAATAGAAAAATGATTTTTTCTTATTCCTTTATGTACTTTCAACTAATCTCTGTGATAGTTAACTAACTCTCAACTAAACACATAGATTAATATTAAAAAGATGAAAACTTTTGTTGTCTTCATTACTGGTGCTTATGCTCGTGCTAGTTATTTGATTTTTTTGTAAATTACACTCAAAATTGGTTAACTTGCCAATGTTGCAGTATAAATGGCAACAGAAGTGGTCAATGTAAATGAGTTCCAAGAACTGGCAAGGCAAGCCCTCCCAAAAATGTATTATGACTTCTACACTGGGGGAGCTGAAGATCAGCACACACTAAGGGAGAATGTGGAAGCATTTCGTAGAATCACGTTATGTGTTAAGCTTACACTTATTATTCTTGTTATTGAACAGGGTCACCGTTTTAACATCATCTTTGTATTACATTTCAGTATTCGGCCAAGAATCCTCGTAGATGTGAGCAGAATTGATATATCAACCACTATATTAGGTTACAATACTGCGGCACCCATTATGATTGCTCCAACTGCTATGCATAAGTTGGCACACCCTGAAGGTCTGTCTAAACACTCTTAGCAAGAATTATTCACCGAAGTTTATGTGTAGTTATGATTCCAGCAACGAATTGTGTTTATTCCAGGAGAGGTTGCGACAGCCAAGGCAGCAGCTTCTTGTAACACCATAATGGTACTATTATTCTAATGGGGAGCCCATAATGATGCAATTATTCTAATATGGATGTTGTTAGTTGACTTGATGATGTACTTGAATATAGAGTTGGTCTTAATCGTAGGCATTGTCCTTTTCATCTACCTGCACTGTGGAGGAGGTTGCTGCCAGCTGCAATGCTGTTCGCTTCTTTCAGTTATATGTAACATTCTCATAAGCTCTTCTAATTTCAAAATTTTCTTCATAGAAATTCCATGTTTCTTTAGCATAATCGTCAGAATTTTCATTCTTGTGATCCCAGTTGTAGGAGCTGAATAAATAATTCGGTCTTCCTCTGTTTATAGGTGTACAAAAGACGCGATGTGTCAGCTCTGTTAGTGCAGAGAGCCGAACAAAATGGTTTTAAGGCCATTATTCTTACTGTTGATACTCCTAGACTTGGTCGAAGGGAGGCAGACATAAAAAACAAGTGAATTTCTATTTCCTTTTTCTTTTATAGTTTCCACTGCTAGAGCAATGGCCTTCACAGATTGGAGTAGATACTCTACCTAACTTGGAAAACAGTACTTAAATTTAGTATTCAACATTACAAGGACTTTTTCTCATGTTTACTCTGTTATATTGACTTGTGCAGAATGGTTCAGCCACAGTTGAGGAATTTTGAAAGTCTCTTCTCAACTGAAGTAGTCTCTGTGAGTGGAATAACTTTGTTTAGCAATATTTGCTTTTAAACATACCAGAAAACAATGTGCGATTTTGATTATTCAATGCTTTTGCAGGATAAAGGTTCCAATTTCATAGCTTATGCAGCACAAACACTTGATGATTCTTTGTGTTGGAAGGTACAAACCAAGAATCTACTTTGTTTTACCTGATATATATATATATACACACATGACTTTAGGCACTTCCTTTGCTTCAAAATATCACTTAAAATTGTGCGTATTGCTACTGAAAGAAGAGCCATTCTGTATGTGAATCGGTTAGTGGAGGTGTCTCACAACTTCACACATTTAGTGAGGCAGAAAAACATGACCAGAACCACCCACTTTTCATATTCTACTTACTATTTTCATTGTCTTGGATTCACGGTCGAACAAACTTTTCCCTTTAGTACACACAGAATCATAAAGATTTGGAGTCATTTTACTTTATGCTTCTCTTAACTCACTGATCACATCTTGTTAGGAAATAGAATGGTTAAGATCTATTACAAGATTGCCAATTCTAATCAAGGGGGTGCTCACTCGTGAGGATGGTAAGGCCATGACACCATCTTAGATATTTGCTCCTTTTCAGCTTTTTCATTGTACCATATAGATAAGAGAACCTTCCCTCAGAAATTGAAATTCAATCAAAACTTTTTTTTTTTTTTTTTTTTCCTTTTTTCATATATGTATATCAATATAACAAAAGCATTTGAATTTCTCAGACTTACCCTAAAAACCGTTGTTTGTGGATCACTTTTTAGAAGGAAAAGCTATATAAAAGCCTTATACTACGAAAAATCTCTTGTTTTATACTCTTGTGATTCGCGTTATCTAATAAGCTTGTTGATGATTTGGCAGCAATAAAAGGTTTAGAAGTAGGAGTTGCTGGAATTATTGTCTCTAATCATGGAGCTCGGCAACTGGATTATGCTCCAGCAACTATAACTGTTCTGGAAGAGGTGACCATGCTTGTCATTTCAATGGTTTAAGATGCTGATCGATGTCCAGTATGTTGAGATCTATAGTCAAAATAATTAAAATGTGCCCTTCTTTTTTCTTTTTCTTTTTAAAATTTTGTAGTATAGCATCTAGGAATAGGTAAATTTTTTATCTGGTCAAACAAAAAATCTGAAATGTGAAATACTTTCAAAAGGAGTATATCAGTATATAGATGTTGAATCTTTTGTGAGGCTAGGTAAAAGATAATATGGAACTTTTGAGCTGCAAATGCATTTACAAGTTTTGTTGTGGACTCATATGTGGTTTTCCAACATTCTAATGGGGGAAGTGTGTTTCAATTTCATGTCATAGCTTTGTATTAAAAGATAGCTGATTGTGGACTATAGGCATTTGAAAACAAGCAATTTTTTGGTGATGTAAAAGGTATCTTGCAAAAAAAAAAAATCCGTTAGGCATGGTTGCTTCATACTTGATGAAAACAAATATATCAGTGTATCGATCATTGGTTGCAGGTGGTTCATGCTGTTGGAGGGAAAGTTCCTGTTCTGTTTGACGGAGGAGTGAGGCGAGGAACAGATATTTTCAAGGCTTTAGCTCTCGGGGCACAAGCTGTTTTGGTAATTGGTATTTTTTGTGCAATCTGCGAAACATTAGTTTTCAGTGGCAGGACACTTGCATGGACTCATTAACAACCAATTTCTTTCTTTTATAGTGCACCATGAAAAAACTGGAGACTACTGATAATGTCTCAAAGGATCAGTATGTGGGAATTGACCACTACCCTCTCAATCGTGCACTCTCTCATCATCTGTCTGCCTTGCATAATTGTTGTGTATTATTGCAGGTCGGGAGGCCAGTTCTCTATGGGCTGGCCGCGATGGGAGAACATGGGGTGAGACGAGTCATTGAGATGCTGAAGGATGAGCTAGAGCTCACCATGGCCCTTTCTGGCTGCCCTACCTTGAAGGCCATTACCAGGAAGCACGTGAGGACACAGCGCGAGTTAATGCAGTGCAAGCTCTAGTTTCATTTCGAAGCTTTAAAATAGTATGATGGATACCATAGTTCAGATCAGTTTTCATGATGAAAACAAGGAAATGTTAGACAAATCTGTGGAAAGTAGAAGATGAAAGATTGAACTTCCTCACCTTCTTTATCCATTTCTGAAGTATAATAATATTGATGCTTGTGCCTACCAATTATTGTTCTTAAAATATCACCCCCATAACTCAATCATTATCCAAAAACTATTTTGAATTCCTCGTTAGAGAAATAATTATACTTTCATTTATAAAATATAAAAAAAAATAACTAGAGTTTAAGAATAAATAATAAACTTTATCTCGAAAGCTATTTGTAACGACCCAAACCGGGGGTCCAGATCGCTAACCGGGTTCTTAACCAAACTCGAGAACACACTATGGGCAAAATGGTCATTTTACATTATGAGAGGGTACTACATCTTTAAACTAATCAAATGAGGTTTAAAATAATCATTCTTAATCATTCCATGACACTTGAAGAGGTTCTACGGTCATTGGATGTGATTTCCCAAAAGTACTCTTACCCGGTTCACGGGAAATTTCGACACTGTCCCACTAAAATGATCATAACTCTTAACATGAATGGAATTTGAGAATGAGATTGGTCCCATTAGAAAGCTAACTCAAAATCCTTGAAAATGGACTCAAGAATGACCCTATTTGGGTTCCAAACAAAGAAGTTATGACCGTCCAAAGTTATGAGGTCAAAGCCGATAAAACTGTAAAGGGCAAAAAACCCACTGGAGGGCTGGAACCGGTTCCCAAATTTTGGTACCGGTTCTGTAATGTTTAGCTTTTTATTTTTATTTTAAAGAAAGTAAAAACTAATAACTTTAACATATATATATATACATATAATAAAAAGCTAGTGGGCCCCACCAACATTTTAAACATCACCTAAGGCCTAATAGCCATTAACCAGATCAATTTTCTATCTCTCTGCGTATCTCTCTCGTCTAGAAGCTTCCCTTTGCTTCTCTTTTTTTTCTTTTACAATTTCAAGCTTTGATTCCTCCTTTCATTCTTGAAATTTTTGGGTGCCGTTTGCGGCAAATCGAAGAGCACGGCGAGATCTTCGTGTGAGTACCAACAATTTTAGTTTTGGTGCACTTTAGGGATTTCGAAATTCTAGGGTTCTTGGGCTCAAATTAGGGGTTTTCATCAAATTGAGGTATGGGTGTTCTAATCTACAACTTCTTGGCCTTTTGTAAATTTTTTTCCCTTAAATTTTGATCCTAAGCATACTAAATTTTGATTACCTAGCTTGTTGTTGTTGTAATTATGTGTAATTAAAATGATAAAGGTGTTCCATGTGTTATTTGAGTTCATATACATGACTATTTTCATTACGGTAAACGAGCATGCTTAGTGTTGATATGTTGTATGTTCTATGATTTTTTTTATTGCCTTGAAAAATTGATGCTATGGTTAAAAAATAAAAAATAAAAAAAATAAAATGAAAATGAATGTTTAGAAATTCCTATTAAATTGTGATGATGATGTAAATGGAATGTGTGAAAACCTATAGTTGAATTGATAAATTGAAACACACGCATTCATACATTCATTGGGAAAGAGAAAGGGGGAAAAATATTTTTAGAACAAACGAAATTATTTTAGGGAAAATATTTTCTAAAAATGTTGCGAAAACCGGACGTCTAGGAGACGCCTAGTGGTCCATGATGTTGGTGTAATCTAGAAGGGAATGTAGTTGAGTTAACTAGGCTAGATGCGACGCCTTGGATATACCTTGTGGTCGTGGATAATTAACCAACCTTCCTTTCGTGATGCCTTGGAGGTGCCTTAGGTTGGATTGCACTAACGGTTTGGTTGTTGAAACGAAATTATTTCGGAAACGAGGACTGGCATAGGCATGACATTGCACTTCATGGTACATGTGGGAAATTTGTGGTTGGATGTTATTTATACCATGCTTGTTATTGTCATTGAAATTATGTTTTTCCCATAGTATGACCCCGTCCCTTTTTATCCATTCTTTGTGTGGGATTCACGGGAATATAAAAAGTGTGTCTTAAACACTTCCTACTAAGCTTATGTTCACCCCATTATTTTTCAACATTTTTCAAGATATGGAAAAGAGGTGGTGGACGACGATCCACCACCGGTGTAGACGAGCTTGAAAACCCATTTTATTTTGCTATCTTTTGTATTAGAACCTTAATATTTTGTAATATACTCTTAACTATTTTGTGAAACTCTAGTTTAATGGGTACAATGTTGTAAGTTATGAACTTTTAAATTCTAGCTACATTTTATGGACTGTAACTTGATGTAACTAAGATGTGTTTCTGTTTAGATGAAATGGTGGAAGGGAATTTTTGATATGTATGTAATTATTTTGGGAATGTGATGTAATATACTTGTATTGTGCGTTGGGACAGGACAGGTTATTTTAAGGCCCAGCGAGGCCATTGTATTTTTTTTTTTTTGGTATTTCAATAGGTTGTAGAGGGACTTTTTCTGCGGAGGTCATGCCGAAATTTTAGCTATTTTATTACTATTCTTTTTGTATCTAGTTGGGTCGTTACAGGTTCCACATGGGCAGAATGCCCAGAACATGAACCAAGTACTGTAAAGTTTTTGACTTTATCTATATATATATTTAGGTTGAAAGAAATTTTTTTATTTAGCTGTGGGACCCACTTATTTTATGTTATCATGTGCCAAATGGGATTACAGACCTATTTTTTTCTGTTCCTTTTCTCTCTCCCCGCTGCCTTTCTTCCTCTCTGTATTTCTTTTTTCTTTTTCTTTTGCAACTTCCACTCTTGATTTCTTCCTTCATCCTTGGTAGATTTGAGAGCCGTTTAAGGCAAAACGAAGCCCACAACGAACTCTACGCGCTAGTGTAAGCAATTTCAGATTTGGTCTTCCTAGGGACTTCGAATTTAGAGACCCATTTTAAGGGTTTTGGCTCACTTTTGAGGTAGGGACACCTTAATCCACTACTTTCTTGTTCCATTGTGAGTTATACTCCTTTGTTGTGCCAAGCATGCTTAATTAGAAGTTAATTGTATCAATGATTATTTTAAATGAATGTTGTCTAGAGAAATTCATGTGTATGAATGTGAGTTGTTTTATGTGTAAAGCATGCTTAAATGTATTTTGTTGTATCTTAATGTGTTAATAATTACTTGGGAGATGTTCAACATGTTGAATGTTTAATTTTATGGTGTAGAATTTTAAATGCCATGGCATTAAATGTATGGAACATATATACATGCACATACCATTGGGTTTGCATGAAATGGAGAAATTGTTCTTGAAATAAATATGGGGAATTTCAGGGAAGTGTTTTTGATGAAATGGTTTTATGTGAAACCCGGTCGCTGCGCGGTTACCAACGGGCCGGAGGTTAATATAGCCTAGAGGGGACTAGGGAGTCGCCCTAGCGTGGTTGAGCTAGCTGGGCCCCATAATGACACCGCGGGGTTACCAAGGGTCAGGAACACTAGCCAATCCTCCTCTCGTGTCGCGGCGGGGCTACTAAAGGGCGGGCTGTATTAATAGTTTGGAAACGATATTTTGGATTATGAAAATGGGGAGCGACACTAGCATGCATTGCATCTCATACCATTGTATTGGATATACTTGAGATTGAATCGTTACGCTGTATTATTTCCCGACATTGTATGATCCCCATTTCCCATTGGCCTATGCTTTGTTTGGATTCACAAAGACACAAGATGTGTGTCTTAAGTGTCACCTGCTGAGCTTTATGCTCATCCTACTATTTATATTATTTTTTTCAGGTTTTGGAAATGAACTGGTGGACGACAATCCACCTCAAGCTTGAAAGTTGTTAGAAGGTTGTTTGCTATTTTGTATTTTGACCGTTCTATGTATATTCATAGTTGTAGAAATGTAGCTAAGTTAGTATTCATGGCCTTGTAACTTAAGAACGAACTTATCTTTTGTTTGATGAAAATGAAACTAATGGAATTATGGTATATGTTTCCATGCAATTGTATCATGTAACGTTGTAAGACAGAGACTTTAAATCTTAACCATGTATTTTGGGACTGTAATTATGATAATTTAGATTAATTGGTGTGTGGATGTTCCACCATGAGAGGAACTATGTTGAGGAATAATGAACGGATGAATGGGATGCTGGATGATATTATGTGTTTTGTGTATTGGGACAAGTTGTTGAAGGCCAATTTTTAAGGGAGGTTATGCCGAATTTTTTTTAAATTTTGGCATCAGCTAGGGTCGTTACAAGTACCCCTTGAATCGGTTCTCGGATGTGGTACTGGTTCCCCAAGTCCAGAAACTAAAAAAAAATGCTCTGAAAGCCTAAAATCATGAACTTGTGCACTTAGGCACTCCTATGGTCTATTGGTGACCTTAATCCCAATCCAAAATCTGTCCCAACACAATGCAAAAACAACTTATATAACATCCCATCGATTACAATTCATCCAAAACTTAGAGTTACAAATCCTTACATTATTCCAAAATCATTTGCAAAGATTAAGCTTTTGATACATCAAGTTAAAATCCATGGATATGGTAATAGTTACAAGTTCCTTAGTTACAAAACTATCCAAAATATACCAAGGCTATACAAAATAACATGATTCTATACAAAAAAGTATGGCCCCACATACAAAGGTCTACAAAACAAAGGCCTCAAATCCGATCTAAACGTGTGGTGGATTGTCGTCCACTACTTCCTTCCCGTGACCTGAAAAATGTTAAATATAAGGGGTGAGCAAATTGCTCAGTAGGTGGTGCCTAAGACATACCTCTTGTGACCCCGTGAATTCAAACAATGAATAGGAAAAAAAACCGAGATCATGCCATTTCCAGAAAATATATATATATATAACCACAACATCAACAACAATAATCCAAGTCATAAATGAATTATGTCATACTATGGAATGCAATGTCATGCAATGTCGCTCCCCATTTCCAAAAAAAACATTTTCTGTCATCATTTCCAAACCGTTAATGTAACCCGTCCCATAGCAACTCCATGGTGGCAAGAAAGAAGGATTGGCTAATTGTCCCTAACCACAAGGCAACTTCCGGGCGTCATTTGGGGCCCAGTTAACTCAACCACGCTAGGACAGTCTCCCTAGTTCCCTCTAAGTCACATTAACGCCACGGACCCATAGGCAACTTCTAGGCGACCAGATTTTTTCGCAAACCTTTCATCAAAAACCTTTTTCCCAAAATCATTTTTTTCTCTCTTTCCATTTCAAATCAAATTTTCCCCTTTTCATGCCCAATGCCTTTCCATGCCATAATTCTTCACATACTCACATTTAAACCACATATCATACTTAAGAGAAATTTGTGTAATACATGTACTATGCTTTCACATTTTAATTACGGTAATTTAAATACACAAGGCATGGAACAAAATCACTTAAAACATGTTTTTTCACACCACAATAATCAACAACATGTCACATACATTTAATAACACATAGGGTCATGTCATACACATAAAATTCAAGCATATAAATTCAACTTTAGCATGTTATCTCATACAATTCAAATAGACAATACACATATGGTCAATTATTACATGATATATAATTATCATATTAAATACATAAGACTCATATAAGTATGAACAATTTTCATGAAATTAAAACATGCTATAGCCAAATTTTTAAGGAGGAAAATCACAAAAATCAAAGAATGTGGATATTAGAAACCCCTGCCACAAGAATTGCAAAAACCCCCAATTTGCCCAATCCAAGCCCTAGAATTCGAAATTCCTAGGGTGCACCAAAACCACTTTTGCTCTAATCAAATTGGAGATCTCGACGCGCTTTTTAATTTGTCGCAAATGGCACCTAAAAACTCCAAAAGATGAAAGAGAAATCAAAGTTTGAAAATTTGAAAAAAAAAATAAATAAATAAAAATAAAAATAAAAATCTAGAAAGAGAAGGAGAGAGAGAGAAAGAGACACTCTTACGGGAGTGAGAGGGTTTGAGACTTCGAGGCCTCAAATATTAAAAGTGGTGGTGGGTCCCACCACCAAAAACAATTTTCTTTTTCTTTTATTTATTTATTTTTTTTTTACACCACACAATTATATATACACATTTAATAATTCACAATCTCATATAACACATTAAATAAAATGATTATAATGCAAATGAACCCAAACCAAAACCCCGTACGCAACAATTCCGGTAGCGGATCCCACACGGAACCGTCTGACCCGAAAAACGAAAAAATGCAAAAATAATCATCCTTACATGGTCTTGACAAATGAGAGGGAAGTTAGTTGCAATCTATGAAATACCTTTTCAGGAATATACAACACAATGCATTAACAAAATTTGGGGTGATGGAGAAGTTTATAATGCTACATAAAATTATAAATTATAAATCAGCTGTTCATTTTGCAATAAAGTGAGCAAGCAATGTACAATCATGACTTGTTAAATGACCGGCAGAGGTTGGTGTTCTGTGTGAACCGGTTTGTAGCAAGTTGCCCTTCCAAGAAGGCCAATCTCCGGTCGCCCTTATCAGTAGTCACTTCTTGTTTTCTTGGCTCTTTAGCATCTATCATTATCAATCAGCTTCTCAACAAACATATTTATATATATGGTTTCTACACTTCCTTCCCACCCAAAATGCACTCAGAAAGTATACAACTATTTCAAAAATACAGCAGGACGGTACACTTCACATCCATCTACCAAACTCTACGAAGCTTAATTTTAACTTAATATGAAGTCGGACAGAGTTCCTCCTGCAGCTCCATTTTGTAGATAGAGTATTCTCTCTCAAATAGCAAAAATTCCTGGAAGAGCAAATCTCCCACAATGTCAGCAGCATCCAATGGTATGTTACAAATTGAATAACCATGGGCAAAAAGAGTTCTTCAAACAGATGTAAATATACTGACACAATACATACATACATACATGCATATATGTACATATTAGCTTCACAAAGCAATGTCATATACAACCTAACCAAACAATACACAACATTTTGATGAAATTATGAGATGGCAATAATCTTAAATATATATGTACTCCACTCCCTACAATTTGTAATATACTCCTTGATGAGTTATAATGATAAATGATGATGGTGATATTGTGGGCAAAGAATGGTTCCCTTGAGGCAAATAGCTTTTAATAAGAAAACTTTGTCCTTCGACCATAGAAAATTAAATGTCTGCCACACTTTTAGAATATGTCCACTCCACATGCACACAGATACAACAAAATGAAAAGCACGTGTAACCAGAATAGATATGACCTATGTAGGTTGCTGATGAGGGGGGATAAACCAAGTGTTAGATAAAGACTTGACACTGTAGACAGAAACCTCATGCAGATAAAAACTTGGTATTTGTTTCCCAGTGAACAGATAAACAAACATAATAATTTAGCCCACCTGCAATTGTTGCTGACTAAACAAATGGAAAAAACCATTTTCAGGGGATGCGACAAGCTCAATCAATTCATCATGGCACTCAGTTGGATCGCCAGACTCCATGAGTGAAACAGAAACCTACAAATATGAAAGGAAATAATACTATAACCTTTTGTTCATAGCTCCTTCTCTATTGAATTTCTCATCTTAAAGAGAATATATATATATGTATGTATATATATATATATATATATTAAATTTACATAGCAAAAGAATAACTTGAAGAAACAACAGAACTTGCTTCCAGATTATAAGTCACCTGCATGCATCGAAGAATGACTTCTGGAATACAACATCGGCGACAAAGGCCCCGCACAATGTATGTTGCTGGGTCTTGCAAAGAACCATCATTGCTTGAATACCAAGCATCTAATCGGGTGATCTCCATTGTTACGCCATCTTGAAATCTGGCAAGCTCCCCTGAATTGATATATTTTATAACCAAGAATACAATTAATGGTGCTTAAACAATACCAGTACATATATCCACTAATATTCAAATTGTTTGAAGTATTACTATTTTTTCTGTTTTGGAACACCCATTTAGATTCTTACAGTTATATTAGAGGCATGGTCAATTACAAGGAGTAAAAATACCCATTCTTACACCCTATGTAACTTTTGTTGGGATCCATCCTATCAAGCTAACCATTGGACTAAAAGCCCTTCCATGCTCGCAGTGCATGCCAAAAATCAACTTCTTTAGAGCTGTTCATCCACCACTTTAATTGAAGATTTTTTTTTTTTAATGAACCGGTCATCCACACATAATATTGAGTGCGGAACCACCACATTAAAGACACCTAATTAACAGCTAACTTCAAATTTTTGAGTAGCACAATAAGTTACGAGGGATTAGTACTCAGGAATCTATTCTTATGCATTCTTCGTTGATCCGAACTCAACTCAGCTAAGCCTTATTTTAGGTGAACTATTGAATCTTTTCTGTCAGCTTAAATACAGGCCGGTGTATGCCATTTTCACTTCACTATGATGTTAGTTAAACAAATGATTGCAATCCAAGCACACTCATCCCAAAAAAATGTACTTTTGAGAGAAAAAAATGGAACAATACTGCTCGTTACCTTTAAAGCCAGCTGCAATCACAGAAGCAAGAACACCACCATCATTGAGTTCATGTGACCCAAGTCCATCACCCTCTGTTGCTTGGCAACGAAGTATAACCTCAATGCAGTAATTATTCCTTGTTGAGACAGATACATTCACCTGCCCATTAAGAAGGTGTATATCAGATATATGCAAAGGCAAACGATTTTTTTTTTTCATTTATCTTTTATGTGTGTGTGTGTGTGTGTGTGTGAGAGAGAGAGAGAGAGAGAAATAAAAGGTTAGGCATATCACATATGTGATGCTTTTTCATTTTCTGAGATTCCTATTGTGTGTGTGTGTGTGTGTGTGTGAGAGAGAGAGAGAGAGAGAAGGGGAGGGGAGGGGGGGGGGGGTTAACAACCCTCACCCTAACCAGACATAATGTTGTCCACTTTTGGCTCTCCTGGACCAGAGAGAGAGAGGGTAACAACCCTCACCCTAACCAGACATAATATTGTCCACTTTTGGCTCTCTCGGACCAGAGACTTCCTAGGGGGTCACTCATCCTGGTACTACTCCAGGTTAAGTACGCTTAACTTCGGAGTTCTGGTGGGTTCATATCCATTACAGCTTTAAAACGCATTGTTTCATAAAAGGGTGTTGAATCTACAAATAGAACTTGCCCCATCCACACCCAGGCGACGTGGGATTGTACATCTGTAGCTCGCACAGTGTGGTAGCCTACTAGTGCCGCATACCCACGTTCACACACACTCTCGCCCACAAGGTCGCCACAATCACCCCCCCCCCCCCCCCCCCCCTTTGGGCCCAACGACCTCGTTGGCCACACTTCCAGCTAGGTCAGGCTCTAATACCATGGGTAACGACACTCACCTTAGCTAGACACAATATTGTCCGTTTTTGGCTCTCCCAGACCAAAGACTTCCCAAGGGGTCATCCATCCTGATACTACTCCAAGTTAAGTACGCTTAACTCCGGAGTTCTGGTGGGTGCACGGCTTTAAAACGCATTGTGTAATAGAAGGGTGTTGAATCTACATATAGCACTTGCCCCATCCACATCCAGACGATGTGGGATTGTGCACCTGTAGCTCGCCCAATGTGATAACCTACTGGTGTCACATGCACACGCTCACACACACCCGCCCACAAGGTCGCCACAGGTGAGTCAACAAGAAAAGTTGTATAGATGAAAAATGGTTTGCCAAAAGCAAAATTTTCAATACCACATAATTCTGTTATGTATCACCTCAATGTTATGACATAGAACAAATAACGTTTTCTATACCACATAATTTTGTCATGTATCACCTCAATTTTTTGACAAATAGCAAATCTTAAGGCCATTGCAAGGTTTAAGCTATCAAGAATCATATGGATTGATCAATAAACGGACATATTCTTGGACGAAATAGTAACAAATTCCAGATAACAGTTAACTTCAAAAGATTACAAGACCAACAATTAGGGATTTCAATCAAGTGCACCACATAAATGCACAAAGATGACATAATGCATATATCTAGTTGTCCTCGATCACCAGATGCTAGACATTTTCATTTACTTTCTATCTCCCCTCTGAGTTAGTAAACAGGACAAAGGAAATAAACATACCATTAGTTGGCGATCTAAGACAACTTCCTCGCTCACTGAAGAATAAAGAGCACTCATTAATGTTGCACACAAGGTAGCATCTGGACATATACATTCGCCATTAGGCAGACAGAGCATTGCATTGACATGCAATTGAAGGAATACAGGTTCTACTGATTCATAAACAGTGTCTTCAGTGAGAACCAACCAAGGGTTTTCTTTTCCTGTAAAAAGAATTCGATTGATTATTGGTGGAGCATAATAATACAGTCCTGAGAGCTCATAAATGGAAAAGAATTTATAATGATGAGCCCAAGTTCAATATTCCCAATGAAAACAATATCAATCTAGAAATATCTATACATGAAGTGTTTTTCCCTAAAGCTAAATCAACTTACTTTGTAGCAGAGAGAGTGATGAATTTAGTGTTTCTTTGGCTGCCCCAATGGCCCTTTGTTTTTCTTCAGCTGACAGCTTAAGGGGAGAAACCTTTGCATTCTCTAGCTCAAATTTTAGCCAGTTGCGATACGTTGCGTCACAAGAGTAGTACTCTCTCTGATAACAACATGATATTAAATGGGATGTAGTCTGAGAAACAGTTGTTTATCATGGCCAGAAGAAATGCAGAAATAGCTTAGCACAATGAACAATATAGAAAAATAGTTGATCATACCCAGTCCTGGAACTCTCTTAAATTCTCGGAAACATAATGTTCTTCAGTGGAAAGAAGATTCTCTGTTGGCTGTTTCAGAGGTTCAGCAAGCAAACTAAGTAATGTGTGAGCACCTATAGGCATGGAAGGCACCCTCCACATAGAAATAAGAGCAAACTCCCTGAAGAGGACATTGCTATAGAAATAACGAAGGTATCGATAAGTCAGTCAATAAGATGAGCAACAAAGAGGGCAAAATATGTATATATATATATATATATTATAGGAAAATGACAAAATAATTAGTATTATATGAAAAATAAAACCAACAAGTACAATAACATTGCAGGAAGAAACATCATGAAAATAAAGAACTGTAAGAAAACTAAATAACACCAAAGCATACACCAATGGTAGAACATCATTAAAGCAACTAAAAAAGATACTATCTTAGAACCTATGAGCATCTGAAGAGTAACAGTATTAAAAATGTAGAGCTGCCTTGGTACAGAAGCCAGTCCAAATGTAAAAATAGTTACCATATGAAACCCCATTATTCATCAAAAAACATGTTCTTTGTCAAAAATAATAACACTGAATAACATGGAAGTCCCAACTGTTTATGTAATGACAATCAATAGCTACTAAACGAATTACCCATGTATCAATGCTCGGAGAAGAAGTTTGGCACTAACAGCCTCGGCATCATCAATTGTGGAGGGAGGTGTAAAGCAGAGCCATTGAATAACCATAGCTTTTTGAAGACTCTGCAACCGGTGTTGCTCCGCAACATCAGATGACTTGTCATATTTTTCAGGTTTGATTTCTCGGGATCTTGAAAGAACCCTATTCAAGTAGATCAGAAATGACCACACCAAGTATATTATAAAACTAAGATTTTTCAATTTATTCTGTCCCAAAATTACAAAAAAAGAGGCTTAAAGAAACAAATAAGAACCTTTCAACGATTTCTTCAAAACCGCCTTTTGAATCATCTTCAGAAGAAAATGGTAAGTACTCAATAGCAGAAAGGAAGATTTTGTATCTGACATGCACGCTGTTGATGGTGAAAAGCATGAAAATAACAAGCATTAGAAACAAAATAAAGAAGCACTAAAAGGGAAAAGAACAACAAAATAAGAGGACAATTTCTCACAATTTTTTAGTTTGAAATCTTATAGTCAGGCTGTGATATAGTAGGAAAACTGGTAGCGCAAACTCAGCCTCTAATTTTTTTTTTTTTTTTTAATGTGTTGGGTTCATCGAAAGGAAATTTCTTCAAGCATTTTATAACAAACATAGATGACCAAATCAAACCCCCTACCATGCCGCTATTGTGAACATTATACAAAAAATGAACAAACAAATGGAACAGTTAGGAATGTGTTTTCAGAACCCATAGGGCACTGCATCACCAACAGTGTGTGTGCAAGTGTTTAGTATTCTTGCACACATGTAAATGCTTTTGGCAACAAAATTTTCTACAGCTCATATAAATAATGTTTTGAAGTATGTAAAGAATAGCATTCCAGTTAGTGAATATAGAATCAAAACAGTCAACCATGTCAGGCTAGAAACAGATTCTCCAAAGACACGTTTACTTCATTTCACCATCTTGTAATTGCACGGTCAAGAACATATGGAGCAACATGGACTAGAATTATATCTAGAAAATTTTCTTGGTTCATTAACATATTGGAAGCAACTCTAGACAGTAATCACCGAATCAGTCTCACCGCATAACCCTTAGCTTCTTCCAGAGTATGTATTATTAGCAATGCCATATGAAAGTGAAAAATGAAACATGCCCATCCACATCGCTCTGGCACTCCCCCGTCCCCAACCCTACATAACCACCCAAAAAAAAAAAAAAAAAAAAACATTTCTCCACCTCCAGCAAAGAAAGGGAAGATACATAGACACTACAAACCCTTTACAGTCAAATATATCCAACCATAGAAGCATGTGTAAATGATAAACAACAATACTACATAATGACAAAAATAAAGAGAAAGAAGAAGCTGAAGACTCAAGAGATTTAAGATAAAAATAAAAATAAAAATAAAAAATAAAGGTTCCAATTGAAAAAAGACCTGCTGTTCAGCCTTAATTCCATCATGTGCACAAAGAGATCAATGCAACGATGACGTGCAAGTTGAGAAGCATAAATTCCCACCAACTCTTCGTGTTGCTTTGAAAATAGAAACATTGCATACCTGAAATTGTATTTCCCAATTAAAGATGAATGTTATGTCTCCTCGCACATGAAAATATAAAGACTTGCACCGAAAACCATCAAAATCTAGATTTCACCGAAAAGCTCATTAAATCATATAATGAAAAATTGCAGTCTTAGTCATACTCAAAAATACTTCAAAAGGTGGGGAAGTCATTTTATCTACACATAGCACATTTCAGAGTTGAAAGTTAAAATTCAACTAAGATCCCTGTATCAATATAACTTGCTCAGCTACCACTAAAGACTCAAGCAGACCGTCAGAAAATCACTGTAGGAATTAGAAGACTGAAAGGTCTTACTACCTCGAGCTGATTGGAGATCCGTGAATCTTCAACCTAAATCCATTGTGACATCATGTTTTAGTTCTGCATATGGTTGGGCGTGTAACTAATCTTCTATAAACTAATATACCTTATAATACCTTAACTTCTTTCCGAGAACACAACTTGGTTTCATTACAAATTTCATGACATTCCTTTATACTCTTTAATACAAGTGAATTTTATCTATAAAAAAAATAATAATATATTGGAAGTGAACACATATTCATCAAAATATTGGTTTAAAAGCTAATACGCACTAGTAGGGAAACTGAAATGCCCACTTCCAAAAATTGAATATAAAGAACAATCGATTGTAGACTTAAATCACAATTATTTGTTTTAAGGTTTCAATTAAAAAAAAAAAAATCTACAATTTATTCTGATGTGGCTATTTTAGGCTTCAAATTTTGGTTTTTTTCTAATCATACATGCTTCCAAATGCTTTTCAGAATGCGGCATGATATAAATGCACCAGAATGGATCAATACTTTTGAGAAACAAAATTTATAATAATAATAACGAAAATAATAACGATGCTGACAAAAGGCCATTATCCATTGCTGCTCCGGCCTACCGGGTTGCTAGGAGTGGAAGATCAGCGACAAGACTTAATTTTGGCATTAGTGTGCACAAAGTGACTGGCAGACTGCTCTCATACTCAAACTCTTGTCCTCACACTTATCATCCTGGGCTTTTATTATTGCACCAAGCAATGGCTCCAATAATAATAGGAACGAAAAAATAATAATAGGCATAAATTAAATAGTATATCTGATACTTACTACAAGAATGTCCACTGTGATATCATACTAGATGGCCTATAAAACATTGTTTTGTGACGATGAGTTGGGAACATGGCTCGAAACCACTTACATGTGAAGAATGAGATCACCAACAGTCATGATCTTCTCTCTGAAAGCATCCTTCATTTGATCCCCAAGCAAATACCTTAGCACAAGCACTAAATGTGCACCAAAGCGGATCATCTGAGGATCACCATGAGGCCTGACAAAAAGCACAATGATATTTAGCTCAAAGATATGGCCAGTTGCATACTTAACAAAGTGGTCCTTTGTAACTACAAAAAATGAGTGTGTATTTACATGTGACATAGTCATTGCATTTGTAGAAAACCAGTTTTTAAACATGGCCCATAAGAAAAAGCGTGCCAAGAGAGTTAATTTGGCAAGATCTTTTAAATATATATATATATATATATCATCAAGAAGTTTCCTTAAAAGGCTTTAAAACTTAAGCATTTGGCATATCTTTGACAAACTAGCTCTGAATATCTCGCTTCCAAATGGAAATACAGAACACTCCCCTTTATGACAACAAGGTACTAGGATATAGGCATACAAAAAGTGACCAAGATTTGGAAGTTACATATCAAATTTCAGGCACCAGATTATCTAAACAGCAATTTCTGGTTTTTCCCTAGACAGAATTCTAGCCCCCAAATTGAGACAAGTGGCATAAATTTACCTGAAGATATTTTGGTCATCTTCTGAAGGTGATATCCATGACCATATAAGGTCCAGCAGATTCGGTATGTCTCCTAGCATAAGATTCATCTTTCCACCAATGTTGCATTAGAGAAAACCCATTAAAGATCAATTTTAAAATGTTGAAACTGGAAAACTAAAATATGTTTCATAGTTGCTCATAAATACAGAAAACAGAAAATTCAGCAGTGGAAAAGTGCTTTGCCCAACATCTGCAACTCACTACAATGAAATACCCAACTTAACAACACAATATGCAGATCCCATTATAAAAGATATAATAAGCACATAACTAGCACCAACATGGAGTAAGGAGTGAGGTATCACAAAGTATATGCCATGCATGGGCCACAAGAAAATATTTATATCCAATGAAAGCACAGTGCATCTGATGCATAAACGCATCACCAGAAAAAATATTATAAAGACAAGATACCGATGAGCTGCTAACAACTTAACAAACAATCAGGTCGCAGAAGGAGCAAGACCACAAAATGAAATTTCTTTTTTTCTAGGAATCACCGTTCAGATTTCTTTCACCACTCAAAATAGTATGATTCTATTCAGTTACAACTTCACCGTATAACACCGTAGCAGGATCACATTTGGTGCAAGAATTGTTATCCATTCTGCAAACCAATAATTTTAAGTCCACTGTCCATTCAATTTTTGTTAAGTCTATCCTTTTTTCTCTAATAAAAGTGCTCTTGAAGTGCATATCCCGCCTACGCAAGGTGCCAGGAAGAGAAGATTAGAGACGGACCTGACCTTTGGCATAATTTTGCACAAAGTGGCTGCTTTTATACTCTAATTCGTGTCCTCATGCTTGTGAGATCAAGCTCTTACCATTGGACAAAAAAATGACCCTTTATTTGTTTATTTATTCGGTTTAGGACTTCATGTCATGCATGCTAAAAAATCAAAGTTTTAACATAGGTGGTTGTGCAATTAATGTTCCTGTAATTCCTCTTACAAAATTCACATATACAAAATATGAACTTGGAGTGCTATATCAACATGCAGTTTTTGATACCAAATCACCTTGATACTCGATATGCATAAGTACGTACGGGAGGACTTATCCGCTCATGAACATGGCAAAACATGGTTCCTAAGTTCCTATATAAGTGGTATAGAATGGCATAAAACTTCAGATTATCGTCACATGGATGTGTTTGTATGCAGAACTTTAAGCCCGTTTAAAGTTGGTTAGTTCCTCTTACAAACAGCAAGAGAAGGATTTATTATCCCAGAAACAATTTTTGATGAGGGCAAATAGCAAAGCAGGTGGCTTGTTCCTCTAAATTCCTTTTATGTGATCTTTGTCTAGATAGTCCATGCAATAGTCCATTAACCATCCTCAGTGTGGAGAATTAATGTGCTTTTGGCCAACAACACATTTAAGAGACTGATGTTAGGCACACTATTAACTTTTCCAAGAAGAGATACTCACCTCAATTTGCCGCTGCTGCTCCTTACATGCATGAGCAACGGCTTCATGTACTGTGTCACTAAAATCATGCAGAATATCAATTTTAAATAATGAATAATCTTTTTGTCTTTTAAAAATGATTTTTTTTCCCCTGAATTAAAAACGAATAATATCAAAAGACCAATTTAAAGACTAAATGAATTGACCTCGCATCTTTACCTTGAATGGAGTTTCTGAAGAAGAGCAGAAAGGTCCCGAGGTTGCTGGTTTAGAACATGCAGGGGCCAATTTTCTGGTCCAACTATAGGCAGAGAAACACCATTTCCCTGTCCAAGACTTCTGTCAATTAACTCTTTGTAACTTTTAAACTGATCCATCCCACCTGGTTGCAAACGGGCTAATTCTAAATCCACCTGAACATCAAGCCATGACTTGGCCATTGCCCAGCATGCCGACTGCAAAAATACTTGGTGGGCGTTAGATTAAAGACAATTTGTAAAAATTACAAATAGCAGCACAAGAAAATAAGGAAAAACGTTTAATACAACTAAGACTGCAAATAGATATTTGCAATCAAAGCAGCTAGGAGTTCCAAGATTTGACTAAACAAGGTATTTAAACTATGAATCAAAAGGCACAAGGTCGAACTTTAAAATTAGGCACTTCTAATTTACAAAACTTCTTGTGTGTTGTTTCAATGCAAAATGGGATGCTAATGCTTCTGGTAGGTGGAAGGGGAACTAGATCGTGGCTTTCAAATGGAACTCCCTCCTTCTGTTTGGTTGGGTGGAAGAGAAGGAAAGAGATGACAATATCATTTTACCACCACATCGTTAAATATAACGTCTTGTAATTTTATATAACAAATACCTTGTTTCTCTCCCCTCTTCCTCCAAATTTGAATGGAAGCAAAATGGTGGGCCTAGAGGGTTGCCTCATCCATCCTCCTATCCTTCCCCTCTTCCTCTCCCCTCTACAAAATAATGGAAGCTTGATTTATCCCTCCTCTCTTCCCGCCCAACCCTTTCCTTCCTACCAAAAAAGGTCTTTAAAATTACAAAGACATCTGTACAATTTAAAATTACTAGGTCAGCCATCCTAGGGTATATGTTAATTTATTTTCTGTAGTTTTGTATTCTTTTTGTAAGACTGAATAATCGAATACACGTTGATATTTCTTCCAATTCTTCGTCTCTGTGCAAATTATCAATCTCCACCATCCAGAGAAAAATTCGAGAATTAGAATTTGATTTAGCAAAGAAATGCTTGCTTATGCTGATAGAAGACGGTAGATCCCAGGTATACGGCACTTTCAAGTTAACTCCTCTGATGTGGTGCTAACCTAGGAAGTTTAGGCTTTTCCCAGACAAGCATAATATTACTTTGAAATTCCAAGACAGCTTTTATATGCCTAGTTGAGCTGGATAAGATATTAATAATTGATTATCTCATAGATAGAAGATTGACGTTACCCAATACATGTGCTATGTGCATAGATAGCCCTTTACTTCACTGTCCATTGTCATTTATACTTGAACTGCTTAGTTTGCTGAAACAATGATACCACAGCTGGTAACAATTTCAGTTGAAGATATTTAAGAGAGAAGTTTCAGAGATTAAGCATTTATTAAAAGATCTCGAAATCAGAAAACTTTTCCACAATGCAACAGTAATATGGGCTAGAAACATTCATTGGAACCTAGCCCCTACACTAAACCCCTGCAAATTGTAGCTACCACCTACCTCCTCAAACTATAACACTTTTCACTTCACTGGCAAATATTATTTTCTAAAAAGAGACAAAATTATGGTAGTTCTAATTTCTAAATAATGACACCATGAGTAATTTCACTGGAAAATGTTAATAATTAATTGAAAGGGTCCCACAATACAGTCAATTCAATGTTAGAGGCACCAAAAACATACTTCCAATTCACAAATGATGATGGATCTAAGGAAGCAGTCTAGTGTTTTCAAAAAAAAGTTAAAGGCCTGTTTGGTTCAGTTCTATGAGAATGGTGATCTGTTTTAAGTATATAGAAAAACAGAAAGCAGTTTGAAATTTTTGTTTGTTTGATAATTTTGAAAAGAACTATTCTCTCAAAACAGAGTCAGAAAAAAGACCAATTTCAGAGAATACTCGTATTATTAGTTCTCCAAAGCTGTTTCCCATTTTTAGAGTTCATGAAACTGTTATAGCCTTGTAGGAGAAATGAACCAAGCAATCTTAAATGATTTATCATACCAAAATTACATAGAAAAACTGATTAAAGCACATCAAATAGAAACTGATCGAAAGATATTCTTAAGTATTTGCATCATTTAGGGGAAATGGATACCTCCCAGTCTGTACAAATCGGAAGAGTGCGCTTTAAGTTGCTACATTGGGCTGCATAGACTGCGGTTTCAAATTTCCCACCATCTTGCTCCGCAATTTTCTTCAATATAAAGAAATTAGCAAAAAAAACTCCATTAGTTTATAGAAATTAAACCAGCCATGTAGACTGATCACCCATTCATCAAGTGGAAAATATGCACCATCTAATGACTATGATATAAGTTAAGAATGTCGAGAATGTTTAGACAGCATTCCTTTCCTTGTATAAACTCATTATATTTGCCATAACATTCCGAACATGAAATAATAATTTCAGGAATGTTGATGAAGAGAAAACTGCCGCAACATATATATTAAATACATACATATATATATATATATATAATATATATATAGAAAATGTACGAAGCTCACTGTAACCGGACAACAAAAATTCTCAATACAATTATTTTGCCCCTACCTCTGATGCACAATACGAAGCCCATTTCCAAAGTCGCCATTGGTGACCAATGCCACTTTCTAGTTCAATGGCTTGCAAAGTTCTACTCTTTCCATTTTTCACCAGGGCTTCAATTGATGGAAATCGGTCCAATCCTCCAAATGGGGAAAGAGTTGCAGCTCTCCATGGCTGTCCAGATTATATATCAATATCAGGAAAGGAGAGAAAATCCATGACCTCACTCTTTGTAAAAAATCTGCATACCTGTCCAGCAGACCGGCAAAGGTCGCATGCCTCCTCCAGTTTCCCAGCCCTTAAAAGAGTCCAGATATCTTCCAGAAGAGATTCATCTTGTTTCTGTTGGTAAAGCAGTTATCATGGGTTAACTACTACTACTACCAATAATAACAATAGTATACCTCTTTAGATATTCCAAATCTACAATTTCAGGAAAACTGTATCAGCTACACTTATTGATACATCAAATACACCATGGCATAGAGCTTTATTTTTTAACCTTTCAAAAGAAAACAAATTTTACTCAAATATACAATACATGGGTATGTGTATGTTATGTACGTGTCAAACATGTCTTACTGGACATGCAAACAGAAAACATGTTCGATAATTCAACTCCACTATGAAATGTATCTAACTCTCTTATAATATTCCTTTCACATGACTGTCAAAATCAGTGAAGTGCTCATATTGAAACTTTGTGTTACATAAGATAACCATTTTAACTATAAAAAAAAAAAAAAAATCAAAAATAAAATAAATTATATGAATGTTTGTTTTAAAAATCATTTATATGAATGTTTAGTTGTGTCCTTGAGTTTGATTATTAATAAAACCCGATGCTCATATATATCCAGTTACCCACACCAGTACAGGTACCTGAGATAATGTAACTTGGCTCACTATTACCCAACCTCAATATCCAAGGAAAGGGAACATGCTTGGTGGCCAACACACACCAAATTTGCCTAATCAAGTTAAACATGATGCCAGAAACCCCAACCCTTCTTTGCCGAACCCATCGCAACCAACAGATCCCAATCCACCAAAGAGATGGATCACTAACCAAAAACTCTTTAAGACCTTCACGCAAACCTGAGATCTCCGCACTAATAGCAACTTCTTGACCAAACAGATTCAAATAGGCCATTATTATAATTTTGGGAACAAATATGTATAAGGAGTTTTGTCAAAAATTTAGCGGGTGCATTATTATGATTTTGACAAATTCTTCAGAATGCAATATAAAAAAATGGCTCCATGCCTGACGAGGGTCCACTGTCCAAGTTTCAAACTTGACAAACATAATCACAGTGATAAATAGTTGATAATCACACCATCAGAACTAATGTTTAGTTAACTAAGAAGATACTTGCATATACAACGGGTTTTCCACATACTATAAAGCTCTTGCCAGTCAAATGTGTTTGTCTAGGTGAAATGTTCGGATAAAATTTCCAAAGCAATTTTTGAAATATAGTTTTCTCTTATTCCACATTGAATTTGCCATGCTGAAATATAATTAAAATTGGATTAATGGTTTCTTGAACTCCAACACAACCACAAGCAATTCCATTGAGAGGTAATGACAAGAACGAGACTACTAAGAACTTATTCGTGAGAAAGTACTTTGTCATCAGGTAACTGCTGAGCATGCTCACGCGTTGGAGCGTCAAAATCCAAATGATGAACAGTGTTTGGATTTGGTGCACCTCTCTTTAGAGACCGTTGAGTCTGATGCCAAACTCCAGAGCTGGGAAGATAAGTACCAACACAAGAGCCTCGCACCTGCACAGACAATCAAATGTTTTGTCAAACAAAACTGTTTTAAGTCTTAACACACATTCAATGCTTATATTATCAAATCCCAAAAATAAACTCTTTCTACAAATGTCATCTTTTAACCCATTTTAAGTGAATTCCTTTGGATGAGTGAAGAATCCGTATCACACACAACACTTGGGCAAGAGTAGAAGACATGTGCCCCATGTGTATTATTGAACACATCCATTATTCAAGTTTATTACATAATTGTACATGAAACTCTCTCGTTATGTTCATTTTGTTACAATATCTAGAGAAATGTTCATATTGAACACATCTTACATAAAAGCACTGTATCACCCTTTTAAAAAAAATATATATATATATATATATATATATATATTAAAAAAATATGAATATCTATCGTTGTCCCTCTGTCCTTGGGCAAAGGTTTGGGGATTTGATAAGTTCAGCACTTAGACACATACTGACATGAACACCTGACGCACACACACGAGTTATGTAGCAAAGCTATCAACACACAGGTTAAATGCCTTTGTTTCCTTTTCGTTCCCCATCTCTTAATAATAATGTTACAATTTAATGAAGGATGCCAAAGCTCTTTCCTCTAGAATGCTCACAATCTCCAAAATTGCTTTTAACCATCCCAGATCCTAATTTATAAGAGGGTAGGTCATCCAAGCCTGACTCTTAGTTGATCTTAATGTTGCCAGACATTAGTCTATCTAAAGCATATCTCTGCTAGCAAAGGATCATATGCAATTGTATATTATTTGTCACATCTTTTACCTCCGTCCTTTCATCAACTTTACCTAAGAGACCAATTATTTTTGCCGGAAATGATCTCTTGCTCACTGGTGAACAAGAAATTCATCCACACCATGCATGGATGACCATTGAATGTGATTGCTAAATTTTTTTGATAACTACCTTTTTTTTTTATAAGTAAATATATATTAACAAAGATGCTCAAAGGGGAGCGAACCCTTTACAAAGCAAACAAAAGACGGAAAAGGCGCCATTACAACGATAAGTTGTCAACAAAATCCAACAAACTGTCCACAGATGGACAATTTCTCCCATTAACCCAAGAAAAAAGAGAATGCAAAACATGCGACTTAATAACTACCTTTTTAAAATCTATTGATAACTATGCATGGTGCGGATGAATTTCTTGCTCACCGGCGAGCAAGATATCATTACCCTTAATTGCGCCATCCTATATAAAAAAAAATTATACAAGGACTCCGAGGGTAATTTTATTTATATCTTCACAAAATTCCAATTTCAGTTAACACTTGCTAGGATGCAAATGTACTACTTATATTAACCCTCTCTTCATATTAATGTTATAAGACCATCTTTTCTCTTAACATCTGCAAAATCATTCGACAACTATAGAAACCAAATTTATATATTGCACTTTCAAGTGTACTACTGTTAATACCCTTTTTTTTTCATATAGGTGTTCCTTAAATCATGTGTTTTCCAACTCCATAATATATAACCTTTCACTTTTTTTGGGCTAATCGCCACATCCACTTGCTCCTTTCTTTCTCTTACCGACAGTGACGGAGCTAGAAAATTAGTGGGGGTGAGTATACATATAGGGATTTCACCAAAAATTTAGTGGGGACAATACTGAAATTTTAACAAAATTATAAGTATAAAATATAAATAAATAAAAATCAGTGGGGGCGGACACCCCCACTCGGCATAACATAGCTCTGTCCCCGCCTACCTATGCTACCATATACTAAGTAAGTAAAACAAAATCTCCCCAATTAATTTTTTCTCCATATTCATGGTAAAAAAAACCTTGCTTCTCACCAAATTCAAGCAGCAATAGGATGTGCTACTTCCAACAGACATGTAGCTATCCTAACCTTGAAAATAACTTGACAATAGCAAATGGCTGAAACATCCATCCTTGAGTGTTATAATTTCAGAACGGAGTTCATCACGTTAGCAATTATTAAGTTTTTGATCTGTAAAATATCAATCAATGTCAACATCACTCAGCCAACTTAAAACTATCTCAAGATGCAAAAAGATAGACATGAGAGAGACAAAGAGAGAGTGATTAATTAAATGAGAACAAAGAATAGTTGTCCTCATATAAGATGACATGCAACAACTCACTTCAGAATTACACCTAGCCAAGGATACGAACTAGACTGTCATAAGAGGAGAAAAATACTAACATATCACCTTGTTATCCAAATCAAGCGCCTTGGAAGCTAACCCTTCAAGCCACTGAACAATCCGTAAGCATAATTGTGCTGTATGATTTTCCGCAACAAATTGGCAAGCCTCCAAATGCGAAGTCGTTGGAGACTGTAATAAGGAATTACATGGAACTCAAACATATAAATATTTTTTTCTAAAATTTAACTCAAATATATTTAAAGCATCAAGAAAATACTCCAATAACATTTGTAATACTAATACAAAGAAAGTTTTTTATGATAAGAGATCAATCACCAGAATTAGATCTTCAGGGAGTTCTTCATTTCCTGCAAGAACAAAAGTTTTTTTATATCCCAAATCTTCAGAATGATACAATTTAAGCAAAACAAATACATGCAAGAGCATCCATCTTGTATAATAAGCATAGAATGATCAACAACTTGTTCAACTTAGCATGATAAAAAGTTATATGGTTTTTTTTTTTTTTCCCAGTACCTTGAATAACCCCAGAACTCACTTTATCCTATCAGTTTGCAAAAGAGTCATTTTTCAATACGTAGTCCACCAGAGATCCTTTTGACATTTCAAAATAATGATGCAAGACATTGATGTCCTTGTAGAATTTTAAAAATAATAATAATAATAAAAATAAAATAAAAAATAAAAAAGACGAAGGGGGGAGGGGGAACTTAATCCTGCAATTTACCAAGTCAATACAACATTGATTTCTTTCCTTCTGAATTGGGGGAAGAAAAGACTACAATAAGAAAAAATCTATGCTCATAATCAACAGCTATTTTTAACATATAATTTAAACTCGTCTAATTTTCTAATACTCCTTGATTGACATGTCTGAGATCCCAAAATGTATCGACATTTTCTCAAAGATAATTAGACACCATAAGCCACTAGAAAAGTCAAAAGTCCACAAAACTGGCCTGAAGACCGAAACGACGAGTAATTTGAAATGTTCACGCAGTACATTGGATGGACAATCACATAAATATTGATTTTCAATGTCTAAAATATTTTAAGATAAGAAATATACTGAGATATTCAGCAAGAAAGTAACTAGCAATAAATATAAACCTTTTTTATCATTTTAATATCATTTGAAATGAAAACTTCTTAAATTTATTTTCAAATATCACAATATTAATTTGTTTATGCACCAAATACAATAATACAATAACTTGGTACCAAGAAAAGAATTGCCATTACAAAAGCACTTCACTGTCTGAATAGAAAATCCCCACTATGCATTCATAGTCAAGATGATGCAACAAGTTGTAGCAATGCCCTTGAAGCAATCTTTGTAACACAAAATATTAATTCTAGAATAGAATGTCAAAGGTTAGATATATTTCCTTTCCCAAATAGATACCAAAGAAGTGACCAAGAAGCTGCCTCATCAAGTAAAAGCCGAGCCTTCTGCCTCATCAATTTGTCCTCTAAAATTCTGTGTCTTCCATCAGATTCATTCCTACAGAAGTACCACACAGGAATGCAGTCAGATAGCCTATCTGAGATGCAAATGTTTCCTAACTTGAAAAAACACAAAAAAAAAAAAAAAAAAAGAACAGAATAAGCATGACAATTATTTCTTGGAATTTTCATTTTTGGCAAATCCAAAGGTAGAATCCATACCGAAACAGGTGCACTTATGTTAAAATAATTTACTAAAAAAAAGAGATTTGATTGATGGTACTTGATATGATACCAATGGGAGTCACCATTGAGATGTGAGTCATCCTGAACCTTAACCAGAGACCTCGCTGGTGATATAAACTCTCACACTGACAGTTGAACCAAATTGGGGAAAATCAATGATATATATATATATATATATAAAGAGAGAGAGAGAGAGAGAGAGAGCTTTTGAGAATGACATAGTTTGCCAAGAAGACTAGAGGTTAATCAACATGTAACTATATGAAATTAATCCAGCTAGAATTTTAGAGCATCTGCCATGTGTAGAAATTTAGCCCACATATGGATCAATTTCACAGAACAAACTGTAACAAAGCTAGCTAAATAATACAAAAAGTATTCACAAAACATATGATACTACAAAGGTGTTCGTGTTTATATAACAAGACACTCTTCCACCAAGATATAGTTACTCTCAAGAATGAGGCATACCTAATTGACTCTGAAACATTGCGGCAAGATCTCTCAAAATGTAATATCAAATCTGGGAAAAGCATCAGATCTGCAATACATAAAATGCAAACTGTTAGAACACAATTTGGATAGTTAAAACTGTTTTTTGTACCAAGCTTTATGCACAAAGGAACTCCACAAAACTTGAACGGAAAAAGGAAACTGTGAGAAACTATGTAAAAATTCTGAACATACCAATTAAAAAGCTTAATAAGTCCACAAAGTAGTTGACTATTTTGGTCAAAACACATACAGCCAGTTGAATTTTTAAACCTGCATTCATACCAAGCTATGTGCAGGAGGAAAACTTTTATAAACCAAAGAGACAGGAAATTTATTGGAAAGGATACATAGTTACAAATTAACAAATTTGATAGTTACTTGGTGTAATTGATTGTTTGTGCCCCCTAATCCCCTAAAGAGTAAAGATGACATGAGACACAAGGCTTTGCAGGGAAGAGGATCTTCTTTAACTTTGGTAGGCATTTGGCGAATCAAGATACCTTTCAAGGTTGATTGCTTGCTTAGTCGGTGACTTTGGGGAAAATTTGAACTTATAAACATTAAGTAGTGAGAACAGATTAGAGGCTACTCAATTAGAAAGCATGTGCACAAAAATAGAAAGGTAATTAATCATCTATAATATACTTAAATCCAAAAACATACTTACATTGAAACAGAAGAGAATTGGAAGGCAGAACCTTTATGATTTTTGTGGAACATCCAAAAAGAGATGTTAGACAGACCTTTATTGGAGAGGAGTCGCCACGAAATACATTGAAACAATTATTTTTTTCAGTTTGTTATTTCTTGAGTCTTAGAAGGGTTTAACTTTTCATCAAATTCTCTTGTAGTTTTTCTGGGTGGTGTTAACTTTTGGACAGAGCCTAGCGTTTTAATGACCCGGATACTTTGAGTGTACGTATGTTTTGCTCCCTTTAGGCAGCCTCATATAAAAAATTTACTCATCGAAACAAGTAGAAACTAAACAAACAGTTCTATTTTTTCTTCAAAATCCCTACGATAAAACTCACTATCGACTACAGGAATTAAATAATTTCCAAGAAGAAGAAGAAGAAGAAGAATTCCTGAAATCATAATTCAAGGAGCTTTATTGAAGTCAAATAATTTCACATACACATCATCTGCTTATCAGTAGTCAATTTTTCTGGGCTGGTTATACAACTGTATGCACTGAACTGTATAACCATCTACTGGACTTATAACAGTTCCCACACACTTTAATAGCATAAGTATAACCAGTGATGAAATAAGAACATGATGAAGTACCACTTGAATTATTCATTGTCTTGCAACACTGATTGGAACAGTACCACAACTTCAATATAGATACAGGACCGCCAAAAAATTAAAGAAAGTTGAACTGGGATGAAAAGTTCATTAAACAGAAACGCATAGTGATTGCTCTGAGAAAGTTAAAAGATGAATGCAAGGATGCCATCCCACTACTTGATGTAGATCAGTCCACAGCATCAGGAACGGAAGTATAATACAATAAAATTAACCAGGCTCCTAAGTCAATAGAACATGTTCTGATTCAAGTGGTAGTCAATAGTACATGTTCTGATTCAAATAAAGACCACTCCAATTATCTCACAGTCCACATCACAACGCTTATTGTTGACAGACAAGATCAATACCACTCAAAGAATGGCATAGCTTAGAAAGGGGATGAATGCAACTTAAACCACATTCTCAAAACCTTGAAGCAATATAAACATAGCAACACAAAACAATTTCATATGCAAGAAAGTGCAAATTTTAAAGGTTTCAATCAAAAAAAATTTACTTCAAGCACCTTTAAGAGCAGAATCAAGAAGAGATGCAAAAAAAGTAAAGGTTGTATCTCCACCATCCACCAACGCATCATCCTCATGCTTAAACGCTTTTAGTGCATAGCTTCCAGCTCGTCGAATTGAATCATCCATCACATCTGCCTCAGATATTCCACGACTATCTATGGAAGATCTCCTCTTGGCAGCAGATTGTGTCTTTGCAGGTGTTCCTTCTGAGTGATCAGCGTCAAAAATCTCAACCTCTTGTTTAATATCTTCGAGAAAAAGCGCAGCATTGTTCCGTCTTTGAAAACTCTGTCCGTCGAACAATAGCCTGGCTTCACTGAACTTTGAACCTGAAGTTTCTTGATGTGGTGATTTGCTGGAAGCTGAGTGCCTTTTACTGCACAAATTACATATGCTCAGTATGCATAATGGGCATACACTAAAAGAATGAAAACAATGTGAGCACATCACTAATATTTCAAACAAAAATAATAGATAAACAGAACAGAAAATAAAACAGTTCAAGCTACAGTGACCCACTAGAGAGAGAGAGAGAGCCCTCCACCTTGTTCTCCTAAAGGGATAAAGCCACACAAATTGACAATGACAATATATCTAACAAAATGAGTAATGAATATTAATATATATATATGAAGAAGAAGAGTTCATAGATGACAGGAGAACTTGTATAGTAAATGCAACTATCTATTTGAATTCTGCAATGTATATTGCCTTTGATTAGTTAAGTAAATTAACTGTTTTTTCTCTTGCCCCCTTTTAGCCTTGTTCCTCAGGAAAGGGAAACTGTGAAGTATGTATACCAAGTCTTATATATATAAGAATCAAAATCAATATAATCAATCTTACACAATACCTCTTCAAAACATTGAAAATATATGAATTTTTACAGTTGTTCTAGCATGCCAAACTCGCTCGACTCACATCATTAGTGCAAAAACTAATCCAAAGTTCATTTATCAATTTAACATTGGTTAGCATATATTGTTCAATTGTGTGTGTGTGCTTCTACTTTTCTTTCTTTCTTTTCAAGGCAATCGAATAATTAGCTCAAATTGATTGTACCCATTGATTTTTCTGTTACATATGCTTCTACTTAATTATATAATTTCATTCGAATTCAAAAAGTAGCATGAACCAGCATCATAAGTACAAAAATTAATACAAAGTTCGCTTGTCAATTTGATTTTGAAAGCATGTATTGGTCAATTACGTGTGTGCGTGCGTTGTAAATGCTTCTACTTAAATCCATAGAGTGAAAGGAAATTTGATACCCAAAATTCCCCAATAAAATTACACATTACAAAGAACATTTTCGATAAAAGACCCAATTAATGCAAAGAAACTAAAATAAAAAAAATAATAATAATAATAACAATCAAGAAATAGAACGAACCCATATCGACGATAGCGTTCTCTGGCACTGAGATCTACGGGATCTAAGTAGCTCGGAGAAGTCTCCATATCAACCTCCATTACTGCGAAACAAGGTCAGTGAAGATTCTGAAACTCCTGGTTCGAGATGGCCTCGGTGAATCTTAAACCCTAGAGTTTAAGCGCGGGAAGGGTTTTAATTCCTTCGTCTTTCGCACTGTGAAAAGGTCGAGAGGGAGGTTCGAACGATGGACGTGGAAGGTACGCTCCTGTATGCCTTCATCAGGTGCCAGCGGACTCTGGTGGGGTTGCGTGGGACCAGTCTTTTCGGATTTGAGCTCGTTTTGTTTGATAAATTGAGAATTTTTTATATTTAAAAATAATACTGTAATGGTAAGAGAAGTCTGTCTCATTAAATAAAACAATCCAGACATTTTTCCCAAAAAAAAATTAAGCGACATTTATTCTTTGATATTCTTATTGGGTTACTGAATTAAATAAATTTTTATTAATTTGTAATTAAATATTGTTTGAGTTTCCAAATAGCACCGAAATTATATAATAAAACCATGCAATTATTTCTGAATAATATGGTAGGTGACCATATTTTACGGTGACCTGATGTGAATTGCATCTCATTAAAATGAACTTTTTAAACTCACACTTCACTTGATTTTATATTTCGTTTAAGAAAAATGAATTTTGGATTGGATTGGCTCTCGTGTTAATGTCTTTTATGTCTTATAGGGGTATTTTCAATACAATACAATACTTTTGAGCTTGTTATATATAGATTAGTGTGGAATCCACATATAATGATAAGGGAAGACATTTAAGGCAACTTATGATGTAAGCTGCTTGGCCATGCTTGGTGCCCATGACATTTTGCCTATGAATAGGCTTACCTTGTGTACAAATGATGTGTGAAAAAAAGAATAAAATGGCTTTTTTCTCTCTCTCTTTCGTTCGCTCTCTTTCTTTATGAAAGTGTTTTTCATCTCTCCAATAAATATTACTCTACATATATATATCTACATATATTTATTACATGTTATCAGCACGAGTTCTATTCATCTGAGATTTGAAGAAGAAGCTTTCTCTTCCTCTTTCTATCCCAACTATATATCTATTTTGTGATATTAGTTTTGATAGATTGCTGGGTTAGTTTGCTTTATCAAAAAAAATAGTATTTCTGACTCCAAGGAGTAAGAAAATTTTAATTATGGATTATTATTCATAAAATAAATTTGTTTGCTTAAATGATATATGTGATCACACTATGGTCAGTTTTACCACATTTATTATTTAATGATCTACTAATGATGATCGGTCTTACCATCTTTATTATTTAATGATTTATGGCCGATTTTACCGTCTTTATTGTTTAATAATTTATTCACTGTGGCTGGTTTTACCACCTTTGTTATTTAAATAATTCATATTATGTTATTATTTCATTTAATGTCATTTTTTTTATTTATATACTATTCTAAATTATATTTTTATATATTGTTACATCTAGTTATTCTGAAAATGTCAAACTTGACAAAGCTGGAATTCGTGGCCTTGAATATTTCTGGCAAAAATTATTTATCTTGGATTCTGAATGTTCAGATCCATTTAGATGCAATGGGCCTTGGAAACACAATTAAAGAAGAGAATGATGCATCATTACAAGATAAAGCGAAGGGCATGATTTTCCTTCGGCGCCATATTAGTGAGGAGCTAAAAACTGAATACCTCACCGAAAGAGATCCACTGTGCTTGTGGAACAATTTGAAAGAAAGATATGATCATCAAAAAACAGTTATCCTCCCAAAGGCTCGGGCTGATTGGCAGCAACTGCGGCTGCAAGATTTTAAAACTGTGGTTGAATATAACTCTGCCCTATTTAAAATCAGCTTTACATTAAAATTATGTGATGACACCATTACTGATGAACTTTTGCAGAAAAAACATTCACCACATTTCACGCCTCGAATGTGCTCTTACAACAACAATATCGAGAGCGTAGATTTAAAAAATATTCAGAGGTGATATCATGTTTACTTGTGACAGAACAAAATAATGAGCTTTTGTTAAGAAACCACCAGTCTCGTCCAACTGGATCAACACCGATCCCTGAAACATATGTTGCCTTATCCCGTGGTCGTGGACGCGGACGTAGACGTGGTTGTGGTGGTAGAAATGACTATAATAACGAATATGATCGTGGTAAAAATAACTACCATAATAATGAATATGGTCGTGGTAGAAATCATTCTTATTACCGTGAAGGATATCAATCCTCACATTTTCGCAATCAGAGATCCACACCATATCACCAAAAGAAAGATTATAATGAAATAAAACAAGTAAAAAGGAAGGATGTGGCTCAACCTTCCAAGGCACATGATAATACTTGTTATCGGTGTGGCATGATAGGGCATTGGTAAAGCATTTGTCGTACACCTAAGCATTTGGCTGAACTTTACCAAGCCTCAATGAAATAAAAGAGGAAATAAAAGGAAATGAATTTTATTGATCATGATGAGCCAGTTGACATCACAAATCTGGAAATGAATTTTATTGATCATGATAAGCCAGTTGACATCACAAATCTGGATGTAGCAGATTTTTTTGAGAAACGTGAAGGAAATATAGACTTCCTGATTGGTGATGGAAATGTCCACACCAATTAATCTTATTTTCTTTTCATGTTCTGTCTACTACGCTTTTATTTCCTTGTATTAAAATTTCTATTTTCTAGTTTGTATTAAAATTTCTTTTGTTATAAATGTTTTCTTTTGATCTGACTAGTTCCAAAATAAATGGTGAAGACATATGTCTTGCAGATAGTGGAACAACACATACAATCCTTCGAGATCAAAAATATTTTTCTCACCTAACTTTGACAGACACTAGTGTCAGTACAATATCAAGTCCCACCGACTTGATTGAAGGCTCCGGACGAGCTAACATCATTTTACCACATGGAACAAGATTACAAATCAATGATGCCTTATATTCTACAATATCTCGAAAAAATCTGTTAAGTTTTAAAGACTTGCGTCGTAATGTGTATCATATTGAGACCGCAAATGAAAGAAATGTGGAATATCTCTACATTACTTTCATTACCTCATGCAAGAAGCAAATATTAGAAAAACTTCATGTTTTATCTTCTGGGTTATACTATACAACCATTAGGATAATTGAGTCCAATGCTATGATATATAAAAAATCTTGTGACCCAAAACTTTTTATGCTTTGACATGATCGACTTGGTTACCCGGGAAGTACAATGATGCGTTGAATTATTGAAAACTCACATGGACACCCACTAAAAGATCAAAAACTCATCTTACCAAATAATCATCTATGCACCACCTGCTCACAAGGTAAGTTGATTATTAGGCCATCCCTTTCAAAAGTCATTGTTGAGTCTCCCCCATTTTTACAACGAATTCACGGGGATATATGTGGACCAATTCATCCATCTTGTGGACCATTTTGCTATTTTATGGTATTAATTGATGCCTCAACATGATGGTCACATGTTTGTCTGATTTCTACTCGTAATGTTGCATTTACTAGACTTCTTGCTCAAATCATCAAATTAAGGGCACACTTTCCTGATTACCCAATTAAGACAATCCGTCTTGATAATGCCGTTGAATTTTCTTCTCAAGCTTTTGTTGATTATTGCATATCAGTTGGAATTAATGTTGAACACCTTGTTGCACACATTCATACTCAAAATGGTATGGCCGAATCTTTTATTAAAAGATTTCAGTTAATTGGTCGTCATTTGCTTATGCGAACAAAGCCATATTACATGTTGCATCATTAGTTCGTATACGACTAACTACTTATCATAAGTACTCACCATTGCAACTTGTTTTTTGTCAACAACCAAATATCTCTCACATACGAGTTTTTGGTTGTGTTGTATATGTTCCAATTGCACCACCCCAACGTACTAAAATGGGTCATCAACGTAGACTTAGAATTTATGTTGGTTTTGATTCTTCATCTATTATTAGATATCTTGAACCCCTGACAGGTGATGTCTTTAAAGCACGATTTGCTGACTGTCATTTTGATGAGACTATCTTCCCACCATTAGGGGAAGAAAAGGCACATTAGCAATGTGATCTTACTTGGAATGCCCTAGAATTGTCTCATTTTGATCCTCGTACAAATCAATGTGAACGAGAAGTTCAGAGGATCATTCGCTTGCAAAATGTTACAAATCAATTACCTGATACATTTACTGATACAAAGAAAGTGATAAAATCATATATACCAGCTGCAAATATTCCAGCACGAATTGCTGTCCCTGAGGGACCTACTGTCAATAGTGCAGCAAATGTATCTAAAACACGCCTGAAGCGTGGCAAACCAGTCGATGCAAAAGATATTGTTCCTCGTAAGAGGAAATCATAAAGAAAGCTGGCACTCCTGAAGAGGCCACAAAAGGAACAACAGATATTATTGATCAATCTGAGATAATAGCCTTTGATAAGGCAGAGGCTCTTGATGAATCTTAGGTACCTAAAAATGATAAACTAATAAATTTTGATAAGGCAAAGGTAACAGATGATGATATAGCCCTTGGTGAGGCAAAGGTACCTGAAAATGATGAGATCTCACTAAATTATGAAACGAGATGGAATAGAAATGAAATTGTTGTCGACAACATATTCTCATATGTCGTTGCTCTTGATATTGATAATGAGGATCCGGAACCTCAAAACGTCGAAGAATGTCGACGAAGAAATGATTAGCTAAAATGGAAAGAAGCGATACAAACAAAGCTAAATTCATTAGCTAAACGTGAAGTATTTGGACTAGTAGTCCAAACATGTGAGGGTGTTAATCCTGTTGGGTACAAATGGGTGTTTGTATGAAAGAGTAATGAGAAAAATGAAATCATGAGATATAAAGCCCGACTGGTAGCTCAAGGTTTCTCACAGAAACCTGGTATTGATTATGAGGAAATATACTCCCCTGTGATTGATGCACCCATATTTAGATTCATAATACATTTCGCAGTCACAAAAAGATTGCATATGTATCTAATGGACGTGGTTACAGCATATAGTGATATTTATATGAAAATCGCAGAAGGATTTAAAATGCCTGAAACAAAACCACGTTGTATGTACTTAATAAAATTACAACGATCCTTATATGGATTGAAGCAATCTGGACGAATGTGGTACAATCGCCTTAGCGATTACTTACTCAAAGAATGGTATGTGAACAATCATAT